AGGCTTGTGCTTACATCGGAAGCATGGGGAGCCAAGAACTATGAAATTCGATTTTTTCTATCCTTTTTCCACCTAGCAACCTTGTAGCCCTCAAGAGATTGGCTTTGGAATATGAAGCAGTAAGGAAGTTATGCTCTTTTCTTTGTTTAAAAGTAAAACCCTAAGCATGCCTTGTGGCAGCTGATTTCATCGTGGGATCCATAAAAAGTGTTTTCATCTGAGTACACATCACGCTGTCCTGTGATTGAAGCTACAGGGCTTCTGCTTAGATTTCATAGACTAGGAGTTGAGACCCTCTTCCTATAAAGTACCAGATAATAAATATTTTAGGCTTTCTGGGCCATAGAGTCTCAATTCAACTGTGCTGTTGCAGTGTGAAAGCCACAGACAATATGTATAAACGAGTGAGTATGGCTGTGTTCCAGTAAAATTTTATTTATGAAAACAGGTGGCAGGCTGAATGTGGCCTGTGGGCTGTAGTCTGCCAGCCGCTGCTGTGGGCCTGTAACAGGCGGCTGAGAACAGTGGATAAGAGCACGAGTGCTGGCCCTGGAGTCTGCGTGATCCCCAGCTCTGCTGCTTTGTGGCCCTGGGCTTGGGCGAGGCACTTAACAAAGGTTACGAGTATCTGTTCATTGGGCTCTCACGGGAGTCCAGGGTGACAGTGTCCACAAAGGGTGGTGCAGGGCCTGGCACACGATAAATACTGGATCCTGCTGTTACTACTCATTGCCCCCTTGCATTGGCTGGTCCCTTAACAGGAGGGGGTTTGGGAATGATATTAGGCACATTTAAACACCAAAGCTAGTTGAAAGTTTATTTGCTTCTTTATTTTCTTAACATGGAGTCTCAATGAAAAAAACACATGGCTTGCTCTAGCTGCCCAGAAGGTCACCGTTGTTGCTGAGTGCTGTGGCTTTCACAGCCCAGTAGGTAAACAGTGCAACTAAATGGAACCAGTCAGACAAGTCACGCCAAAAATAAAGATAAGTTAAATATCGACTTCATTAGACTCGGCTTGCTTTTTAGCTTTTATAACAAAGACCAAGCTGGTTGACGGGAAAGGGCATTGTCAGGAAATCCCACCTCCTCAAGGACTTCGTGGTTCATCCTTGAGCAGAGCTTTGTCAGCCGGCCACCTGCTCTGTGTCCGGCATTGTGCTGGGCGGTGGGGGTTGTGTATTGAGGAGGGACACTTCTGACCTTGCAAGAGCTCGCAGTCTAATGAGGAGCAGAAGACTGTTGGATAACCGCGTGTCCAGGCAGGATGGGACGGTGGTTGCTCACCAGCGAATGGTCTCCAGTTTCCTTTGGCCTCTGATATCAGTCCTCTTCCCCCCCAGCTCTGCTCCTTGCTCCAGCCTGGACAGCTTCCACTGCCTCCTTGCATTGCTTATTCTGAACTCGTGTGTCCATTCATTCATTCAAAAAATATTAGAGTATGTATTATTTACTATTAAGTAAGACAAGGCCCTGTTCTTAGGGATGTGGACAGCTACTTGGAGCAGCACATAGTCACTCGCAAACCAGTGCTGTGAGGGTGAGGGATAAAGCTCTGTGAGAGCAAATAATCTTAAAAAATGAACTGGAGAAGGAGGATTTCTATGGTGTGTGTGTGTTTATATTTGTGCACATAGGGGTTATTTTTTACAGAGCTGAGATTTTTAAATAAACTATACAAACTATTTTTTTTTTTTTACAAACTATACACAGAGGCTGCTCCTCTCTCTTCCATTCCATTCATTTCTCCTCCCTTCCCTTTCTGATTGATTCTTTGCCTGTTTTGAGTATACCCAGCCTGACTTAAGTTTATATTTAGGAAATAAGGGCGAAAGCATTATTAACATACCGATACACAAAAATATATGCAGGGTTAGAAAAATTAGAGATTTTTTCTACCCCTGGGAGTTAGTTTTCAACTTTATGCCATATTGTAAATTTAGTTGTCATATTTATCCTTTTCCCTTAAAATTTCTTTTCCTCTCCCCTCTGCTGTTCATTTTGAAAAATTTCAAACCTATATTAAAGCTTGAAGGCATGCACATTCATATGCTCTTAACCTAGATTGACCAGTTAACATTTTGCTTCATTTGTCTTATTTTCTCTCTCTTTACATATTTAATCTTTTATTTCGCTGAGCCATTTGACAGTAAGTTGCAGACATCATAACATTTCACCCCTAGCATTTGAGTATGTACCTCCTAAGAACAAGGAAATTATCTTTTAAAACCATAAACCATTATCACACCAAAGAAATTTAACACTAATACAATGATATGAGCTAATACATAGTCAGCATTCAAATTTTCTGACAGTCTCAAAAGAGTCCTTTATGGCTATTTCTTTTAAATCCACGATCCAATCAAGGATCACGCATTGCATTCAGTTCCCAAGTCTCTAAATCCCCTTAATCTAGAACTCTCTGTCTTTTTCTTTCTTTCTTTTTATAATATTAGTGGTTTTGGAGAATTCAGGCCAGCTGTCTTACAGAATGTTCCAAACATGGAGTTGTCTGTTTCCTCACTATAAGATTCAAGTGAAACATTTTAGGAAGAAACTAGAGGATGCTGTGTCCTTCCCGTTATGTCACAGTCAGGAAGATAAGTTTGTCCTGTTATTGGTGGTGCTAACTTAGGTCACTTGTTCAGTGATATCTGTCAGATTTTCCCATTTAGAGGCTGCCCACTCCCCTGCCATGTATTTCATAAGTAATCTGAGAGGTGATGCTTTGAAAACTGTATCTTGTTTCCCAACAATTTTTCACACAATGATTTGAGCATATACTGGTGAACTTTGTTCAATCAGTTATTATATCGATGGTTGCAAAATGATGTTTTTCTGTCATTCTTTCTACTTTTATTGGTTGGCATTTGGTCTGTGAAGAAGATCCCTTCCCACATTTATTTTTTTAAGATTTTATTTATTATTTATTTGAGAGAGAGAGAGCACACAAAGGGAGAAGGAGAAGCAGACTCCCCGCTGAGCAGGGAGCCGACCTGGGGCTCGATCCCAGGACCCTGGGGTCATGACCTGAGCCAAAGGCAAATGCTTAACCCACTGAGCCACCAGGAGCCCCAACCTTCCCCACTTTTAAAAGTATCCTTATGGATTCATGGGTTCTTTTTTGTTCATTGTATTATGATCCATTACTGTGTTTTTCTTTTCTCTGAGAATGTTTTCTTTTTTCTGAGAATGTTTTCTTTTTTCTGAGAATGTTTTAAATTGAGTTATGACTTATGCACAGTGAAATGTACAGATACTACGCATACAGCCTAATTAGTTTTCACAAATGCATATGTACATGTAAATCCCACCCTGTCCAGATATAGAACATATCCATTCCCCCAAAAAGTTTCCTTTGGCGCCTTCCCAGTCATTCCCCATCCCACTTCACCAAGACTAATCTGATTTCTTCCTTGTTCTCTTTGATGTTTTGTCCCAAATATTGGCAATGAAAGCCCCATTTGTGGGCTCTGTATCCATTTGATGTGTGCATCTTAATCTTTGAGCACTTCTTTGGTTCTGGCACAAGAAGGCATTTTATTATTTTTGCCAGTTGAAAATATCCTGTACTATGTATACTAGTTAAATAATTTTTTTAAGTATTCAAATAAGTCTCAATTTTAATAAGATCCTCTACATATACATTTGCTACTAAAAATTGAAATAGCACATCAAAAAAATTACAATTTCTGAAAACCAGAAAAATCTACCTTATGCATACCCTCCCCTAATTATACTCTAACCAACCACCCCAAGTTTTCTGTGTATTCCTTCTGCACAAGTTACTTGGCTTCCGATTTTTTGATGTTAGGTTTTATCTTAATGACTTTAGGCTTCTCAAACACTTAGGCACAGTCAAAACCTAGTAGTGCTTCCTTAGGTCAAATTGAAAAGTGGACATAAACTGACACCATTCAAATGCAAACTACAGGAACTGAAGTCATTCAAATGAAAACTACAGGATTCCTCACAAACTACTAATATGAAACTAGAATAGATACAAGACTATCTAGACTAGAAAATACAAGACTAGAAAATATCCCGTACTATGTATACTAGTTAAATAATTTCTCCTTTATTGAGCTTTAAGTTGCTTCCTTTTTATTTTGTTACCAAAATGCTGCAGCAAACATCCTGGAACACATATTCTTTTGTGAACAGCGCTTTTGTGAGTATTTTTTGTAGACTAGGTCCTAGAAGTGATATTTCTCAAAAAAAGTATGCACGTTGAAATACTTGATTGATATTGGCAGATTCTTCCCTCCCCTCTTAAAGATCTGTGTTAATTAAATTTTCAGAACTAGTGCTGGTATCCCTGCAGCCTTATCAACATTGGATTTTGTCTATGTGAATATGGTAGCATGTAGAGTGTGATTTTGGACTTCTTCTTGAGCATGGTGCACGTCCAAACCAGAGAGCCTCCTTCTTGGTTCCGAGCCTGATTTTCATTTGTAGAAAAATGACATCTCTCCTCAAGGGAGAGGTTAAACCAAGGAGAAATTTTTGACAGGAAACTCTCTGTCATTTGGTGACACACCATTTTACAGCCAGCTTTTGGCAGATGATATTCTCGTCTTGATTCTGCATTAACTGCACTTAGGAGATAAACAAGGAGAGGGATTTACGTGAGGAGCGTGGTAGCCTTCCCCCCAAGGCTTCTGGTCTTCCTGAGCAGTCTTTATAAAATTTGATTCAGAGTTCCTGTTCTGTATTTCTATCTTTAAATAACCATGAGACCTGATTTTTATTTTGCAGTGAACCTCGGTGAGTCTCTATTTGGGGTAGCAGGTTTATTATAACCTGTGTGTATGTGATCTATTACTCTGATGTCTGCTAACAGACAAAATCTTTCCATTTTTTTTTTATTGTAACTATTGAATCTTAGGTTAACCACTTTCGTGAATGATTTGGACGTTGGACATTTTTTTTTCAGGCTGAGGAAACTCTTTGAAAGCTCTTATCTCTGCTACAGTTACCTGTGTTGATTTTCTTTATAGGTATTTGAAGCTGTGATTTCATGGATCAATTATGAGAAAGAAACCCGTTTAGAACACATGGCAAAACTGATGGAACATGTCCGTCTCCCTCTCTTACCTAGGGATTACCTGGTCCAGGTGAGTGCTGTATGAAGAACAAATTGCTTTCCTGCTCCCCCAGGCCTCTGGGAATAGCAGCAGGCAGCCCTGGTTGTATGGGGTAGTTGAGGAGTTTTATGGGTCTTTTGCATGAGTTGAGGTCACCAACCCAGTGGCTTAAGTGTGAAGCATGGTAGTGTAAGGGTTTTTATTTTTATATTTTTACATTTTTATTATTAAAGTATAGTTGACATACAATGTTCTATTAGATGGTAGTGTGAGGTTTGAGAATAAGACACTTAAGGTTTAGTTCCTACTCCACTACTTGTTAGCTTTGAGTTTTTATTTAACTTATTCAAGTCTTAGTTTCTTCTTTGATAGAAGAAATATGATAGTAGAGCCCCGTCAGGATTGTTGTGAGGACCAAAGGAGTTGTAAATATGCAAGATAGATGTTTAGCATGGAGCTGCGCATATTAGATGCTCACTGGAAGTTAGCCACTTTTACTGTAGGGGAGCTAAGCAAGAATAAGTCATTTCCATGTTTCTGTGTTCTCTTTACCTTTGTGCTAAGCAACTTAGAGCCCTATTCAGGATTAGGTAAAAACCAGCTCCTCACAGGTGCCTAGCATACATATTGCTTCCTCTGAGGAAGTAAAGAAAAATTAAGAATTACGGGGTGCCAGTGTGATGCCACATATTTAATCCTTATTACAACCCTCTGAAGCAAAGACAAATAACCCTCTTTTTACAAGTCTAGGCCTTGGGGTTTATGGAGGCGGAGGATTATTTGGCAGTAGAAGGCAGTGTCAGGATTCAAATTCAAGTCTGTTGACCCTGAAGCACCTGCCTTCCACTAAGCAGGCTGTCACCTTTAATACTGTCTGTTTATCCATTGGCTGTAGATACTCTTCTAAGTAGGCAGAGGGCAAAACTTAAATATACGAACAAAACAAAACAGCAAGGCAGCAGGCCAATACTCATCTATTTCCAAGAAGTTTCTGAAAGGAATGGAAGGTGTGAGGCGAGAAGAAGAGAGAAGGTTCAGCAACCCAGTGGCCTAGCTCTGTCACTTCCCAGCTATCTAACTAACACTGGGCAAGTGTTCAACCTTTCTCAACCTCTGTCTTCTCATCTGGTAAAAACAGCACCTGCTCTCATAGGATTGTTTGGGTGTAGAATGAGATAATCTATATAAAGGCTACAACACTGTGAGCGAATGCTGGCTGATACTACTACCGTCTTGACAATCATGGATACTATTGGGAGTAGCGGGAGAACATTGTATCCTCACAAACACTTGTAAAATCATCGGCTTGTGACCCTGTTGACCATATGTCTAATGGACCAATGAGATGATCCCTGAACCTCTGAGCCTCAGTCCAGTCCTATTCTCAGGTGCTGGGGCAAGGGCTTACAAGCCCTTCTTTGTGCCTGGCGTTTTATGGTTTGGATGGTACCACTGCCCCCTAGTGGCAGCGTTTCCTTCCTGTAGAAAAGGTTCTCTAAGCAGAGGGACCGAACTGGCCTGAGCTCCCAGTGTCAGAATCAAACCTCCTACTGTCCTGTGGGAAATGGACCAAAGGTGGAGGCGGACATCTGGCCTCCAGCACAGCATCACTTCCACAGGAAGAGCAATCTGTGGACCTGGTTTCTGGGGAAAACTAAAGAGGCCTTAGAGACCCTTAGTCATAACCTCAATCAGGTGTCCACAACTGAAACTTAAAGATACTAGAAACTAGTTCTTAAGTTATTATGGCAAAGTAGGGTTTATATCTGGAGGAGAAGGAGGTCAGAGGTAGTGGGCATGACCCTTCTACCCCTCTTTTCAAAGGGCTCTTTTCAGAACATCTCTGGAAGAGGATGTTTCATTAACACTTACTTACCTTTGAAGTTTCAAACTAGTACACCCTGCTAGGGGTGGCCGATCTTGGTTGAGTACACAGGGAAAGCCCTGGGCAGACCTGTACCAGCACTTATTTCTGGGGAAGGCATTTTTGTTTGTTTTTTAACCACTAATGTTTATTAGGCTTTATTAAATATTTTGAAATATTGAAGAAGTGTGTAATAGGCTATATTTAAATTTTTTAAAATTGTGATTATGTATATATAACATAAACTTTACCATTTTGACCATTTTTAAGTGTGCAGTTCATTCAATGTACTAATTGTATTCATCATGCTGTACAACCATCACTATATCCATTCTTAAACTTTCTTATCACCCCAACTTGAAACTTTACATGGTGAAGTATTAACTCCCTGGAGGAAATTTTCATTCAAGCTGAATGCGTTCTTTGGGAGAAGTAGCTGTTTATGCATTTCACCTTCCATCCAAGTTTTTGAAGACATCCTTTCTTGGGGCGCTTGGGTGGCTCAGTTGGTTGAGTGTCTGCCTCTTGGTTTTGGCTCAGGTCATGATCTCAGGGTCATGTGATGGAGCCCTGCATCAGGCTCTGTGCTTAGTGAAGAGTCTGCTTGTCTCTCTCTCTCTCCTCCTCTACTCCTGCCCATGTTCATGCTCTATCTCTCTCTCTCCCTCTTTCTCAAATAAATAAAATCCTAAAACAAAAAAAAAAAGAAATAGAACCTCTCTCGCCTGTTTTAATTTTTTTAACTGACCTAAAGGCTTATAATTTGTCTCAACCTGGGTCAGTCCATCAGTGGTGGTGGGGCAAGTGGGGAAACCTTCCCCCAAAATGGAGTATTCCTGGGCGTCACTTCTGGGGAAGGAGGTGCCCAGTGGTGACAGGGGCCCTGTCATGCCAATCCTTCTTTTCCTACCTAAAGTCTGCCCAGCAGGTGATGGCCTGGCCACATCTCCATTCCTAGTTACAGGTGAGGCTCAATCATGCCTTGTGCGTAACCAGCTTGAGGGCCGAGGTAGTTGAGATGGGGAGGCCCTTCTCCTCCTCTAACTGGACTTGAGTGCTTCAAGGTCAGAACCTTTGTCTTGTTCATCTTTTTCTTCCCAGAGTGTAGCACTGGGCTGCCCAACCATGAGACATTCAATCTCTGTTAGCTGTTGAATGGAATCTATCTCTGCTGCTAGCTCCTAAACACTCCAGCAAAGAACATGTGAAGGGGCCTCCGAAGACCACACTACCCCTTACAGATATACCGCATAGCAATGTGACGTAGGCCAAAGGACAGGATTTGAGAATCAGAGCACCAGCATGGTTTCACCCTTGGTCTTGCTCATGACATCTTTTGGCTTATATTTGCTGAGCATCTGCTTGGGTCCATAGCTCTGGAGTATGTGAAGAAGCCACAGTTCCAGCTTAGATAGGGTCCAAGATGAAGTCAGTGGGTGCGGGACATTCTTTCTTCTCTGATATCACCACTCGATTATAGAGCATCTCGTTGGCCAGTTTTACCCCTGAGGCTTTCACTATAAGAAAATGGTTATGAATTCTTCCTGATTGTCACCTTGTTTTACTCCATGCCTCCAGAGGTTGGCTCATGGATCCTGCTCTCTTCCTCTTTCTCTCCTTCTCCTCTCAAATGTGCCATCATTTGCCCTAAACATTAAAGGCACTCAAATTAGGAGGAACATGAGATCAAGCCTTCAGGACAACTAATTGTCTTTGTTTTGCATAATTGCGCTTAAGCCTATGAACTAACAAACAAACACAGGTTATATCCCGGTCTGTTTGATGCCGGAACTTAATCACCTCCGCTGTGCTCTTGAAACGCAGGAGGTAGGCACTAAGTTTTAAGTCTGTGATCTTTCATTTGGAGTCTGAGATGATGTGGCCAGGGAATAAAGGGGTGTGGGAAAACAGAAATGATCCAGCCTGAGGAGGCAGATTGGGAAATGCGGCTGAGCTCTGCTTCTGGATCACCTGTGGATTATTTCCTCCAGACAGTTGAAGAAGAAGCTTTGATAAAGAATAACAACACCTGTAAGGACTTCCTCATCGAGGCCATGAAATACCATCTGCTCCCTCTGGATCAGAGGCTCTTGATTAAGAACCCAAGGACTAAGCCCAGGACTCCAGTTAGCCTGCCCAAGGTAAGCCCCAGCCCAGTCAATGCCAGCAGATGGGACTGTGTTCTGGGCCAGTGGCCTTCCACTCCTGCCTCCAAGTCTTTCCTCACCCATGGTTACCCTGCTTGGTGGCATTTACGACCTAAGTGATGGAGTCTACTGGTTCCTTTTGAATCTGCTGGTACCTCTCTCTTTTAGGGTATTTCTTTTCAAAGAATTTCTGGTAACCTCCGGAGTCACTAGGGAGTTTTGAGAATAACTCAGAGCTCTTTCTTCTCTCCTCCTTCTTTGGTCTGAGTTCTTTTTTTTTTTTTAAAGATTTATTTTTATTTATTTATGAGAGAGAGAGAGAGAGAGAGAGAGGCAGAGACACAGGCAGAGGGAGAAGCAGGCTCCATGCAGGGAGCCTGACGCGGGACTCGATCCCGGGACTCCAGGATCGCGCCCTGGGCCAAAGGCAGGCGCGATACCGCTGAGCCACCCAGGGAATCCCCTTTGGTCTGAATTCTATTTCTTTTGGAAGCAAAGGAATGGCTGGGTGGTCCTTGACTTAGTGATGGTCCTAACACTCCTCTTTCTAGGCTTATTTGCATCAGAATAGTTCTAGTCTGGTTCTTTCTCTCACTGCAGAGCCCTACAGAACAGTTAGGGCCACCAGATACACACTGGCCACTTTGGTTCCTTGCAAGGCCCTTTCCCCTTACTGGTCATCCAGTCCTTCATCTGCAGAATGAAAGGTCCTGTCCTGGCTGATCTCTATTAAAGTCCTTCCCAGTTGGGCATCCCAGTAGGCTCTCTAGGATCCTAACATACGGACATCTCAGGAAAGGCCCCAGCCACCCCAAGAGGAAAGGCAAGCAGGGTGGAGTGAGTTGTGTTGACTCATTGACTATACAGCAAGGCAGCACCAGGGAATTATGTTAGGCCTTCGATTTATCCTCCTCTTCCTCTTTGTGGCTGGCTGCCATGCTCCTTGTTTGCTGCTTCCAAGGTTTTCAAAGCATTAGAAGAGCATTTTGTCTAAGACCACATGTTTGGATTCTCTGAGGTCTGTGGTTTTCCTCTCTCCACTCTGCTCTGTGACTCTGGGTCATGGAGAATTTAGTGAGTGCAATGTGAACAAAGGTTACAAATATCCCAGCTAATACAGGCCGCTGACACTTAACTGAGTGCTGCTTCTTTGCCAAGCAGTAGGCCGTAGGCCTCACACGCACATCTTTTGTAATCCTCCTAAAAGCCCTTTATGGTGGAGACAGGTATCCTATTCTACACAGAGGAAACTGTAGGTCAGAGAGATTAAGTGACTTGCCTAAGGTCAACACAGCTAATGGAGTAGAACCAGGATTTGAATTGTATATTTCTCACCCTCCAACCTGGGTGAACCCATCCCATCCTGTCCCTGGCTTCATCTTTGTAAACCTGAGGGTATATACCTACCTGTCTGCTTCCTGTTGCCTTGTGCAGGTTACAAGGGGCAGCCACAGGTCAAGGGCCTGGGTCCGGCTGGCCATTTGCCTTACTGCATGTTGAGACTTTTATTTTACTGAAGTATTGCATTGAAACTACTTAATATTTTCCAAACTGAAAATAACTTCAATTATAGAAATATATGCTCATTATAGACTATTTAAAAAGGTATTGTATTTTTGAAAAAGAGAGTAAAACTCCCCTGAAACTCCTCCACCCAGGAGCAGTCATTGCTCTTCCCTTGGTGAATGCTCTTCCTGACCTATCTCTGCGTGCCTATTCATAGAGATAAAAATGTGCCCTTTTAGATAAATGGAATCTTGCTGCATGAATTAAAGTCATTTCTATCCCCTACTCAAAGCAGACTGCTTTCATCGTTATCAGTATGGGTGAAATCAACATTTAAATTGCAATAGGTACATGATATTTAATTATATTTATGTACCATTATTTATTTAACTGTCCTCTATGTATGGACCTTCTAATAATTTCCATTTTTTATATAGTAAACATTTCTGTTTTAACCTTTCAAAGATGGCATGTTGTTTTAGTTTGCATTTCTTTCATTATGAGTGAGAATGGTGTGGGTTTCCTATGATTATGGTCTCTGTTAATTCTTTTTTGGGGAATTTTCTATCATGTCATTTGCCTGTTTTTCTATTGGGCTGTATTTTTTTTTTTTTTTTTAGATTTTGTTTATTTATTCATGAGAGAGAGAAAGAGAGGTAGAAACACAGGCAGAGGGATAAGCAGGCTTCCTGCGGGGAGCCCGATGTGGGACTCATCCTGGGACTACAGGGTCATGCCTTGAGGTGAAGGCAGATGCTCAACCACTGAGCCACCCAGGCATCCCTGGGTTGTATGTTTTTTATTAATGTTTTTTAAGGGCTATTTTTACTTTAAAGAGGTGAGGCCTTTGTATGTATTTCCAATATTTTTTCTTAATTTGCATTTTGCCTCTAACCTTTTCTATAACTTTTTTTTCTGAATCCCCCAAAACAACTTTAAGTTAGTCATATTGATGTCTTTTGCTTTATAGTTTAGGTTTTACATCTTGCTTAGACATGTTTTAAAAAAAGACTCCCATGTTTTCTTCAAGTACTTTAGTGAATTCTGTTTCACATTCGCATATTTGATGCACTTAGAATTTATTTTGGTGTAAGGGGTGAGGGTAGGAATCCAGCTTCATTTTATGACAAATGATGAGCCAGTTGCCTCAAAGTTATTTTATTAATCTTCCCCCTTCATTAATCTGAATACCACCTTTATTATGACCAAAATTTCCTTAAGCTTGAATATTGAAGTCTTGAGAATACTGCTTCTAAGGTGCAGTGCTGTTCTATGTGGAGGAGGCTTCTTCCATCCCAGGTTCTTAGCTGGCATTGTTGCATGTCTTTGTGACTTCTCTCTTTGGAAAAGGAGGCTCTTATCTTACATCAGGTTACTGACATCTTTTCCTGGGGAGTGTGTTCTGGAGCTGAGGAAATGGCGCAGAGCTGGCTCAGTTGCTTTGTGTGGAAGCCATACCCAGTGACCTTTCCCTTTCTAGACTCTGCATCTAGCCCTAGCCTTTACCACACATCCTATCTCAAGAAGACACTTTTAAAAATCAAAGCCATTTTTTTGCCTGAGTCCTGACCTAGCCTGCTGAGACCATGCCTCCCTTTCTAGATGATGAATCTGTGGTTGAGAAGAGTCCACCCCTCTTTCAGGAGGCGCCAATGTTGTCCTGCTGTCATCTCTACTCCTTAGGAACCACTATTTTCAGAATGAAAATGTTTAGATTCTTGGGCATACAGACTTCTGCAGGCAACAAGAACCAAGACTTCTTGTGAATCTATTGACGGAATTTTAAAAAGGACATCATGGCTCTTAGCCTCATTGTTCCCTCAACTTTAATCCTTGAATGATTCAACGTTCTCTTGTCCAACCTGCTTCTCAAACTCTACTCTGTCATCATTGTTTGGGCACTTAAGTTAGTGAGGGGAGCCCCACTGTGGGTTTGAGGAGTGGGATGTCCTGAGGAGACTGTCACTTTGAAGATTATCTGATGGTACGTCATCTCATTAAGTCATCACAATATTATGGTGTTAACTCTTCATATCCCTAGTTTACTAAGTTTACTCAGAAAGGTTAAGTAACTTGCCCAGTTACACAGCTAGTTAAGTGTGGAGCTGGGATGTAACAAGGTCTATTCCACTCTAGAGTCTGTGCTTTTTCTCTCCTACCAGATTACCTCCCATGGGCAGTTTTTTTTCAGATTTTGGTGGCAGACAAAAAAGATCCTTTTCTTTTCTTCTTCTCATTATTTTTTAAATCAATATCTCCCTTAATTAAACTCAGTAACATCCATTCATCTCCTTAAGAGATGGATTCCAATACTATTATTTGCTACTTTTCAAATTAAGACTTTATATTTTTAGAGCAGTTTTAGGTTCACACCAAAATTGAAGGTAAGGTAGAATGATTTTCCATATACCTCTGCCCCCACACATGCATAGCTTTCCTCATTATCAACATCTCAGATTATTTGCTTTTAAATTCAGTTTTATTGAGGTATAGTTGATACATAATAAAATTCACTTTTTTAGGGATACAATTTGATAAATTTTGAGAAACGCATACAGTTATGTAGCTGCATCCTAATCAAAATATAGAATATTTTAAATACTCGAAAATGTTCCATTGTGCTGCTCTATAGTCAAGCCCCTTCTTTTACCCCTAGGTTTTGGCAATTACTGATCTGATTTCTGTCCATATTACAGCTTTGTCTTTTCTAGAATGTTATATAACTGAAATCATGCCATATATAGCCTTTTGAGCTTGCCTTCTTTCTTTTAGCATAATGCTTTTGAGATTCATCCATGTTGTTGCACATATAGAGTTCATTCCTTTTTATTGCTGAGTAATATTCCATTGTTTGGATGTACCATAATTTGTTTATCCATTCACCCATTGATGGACATTTGGGTGTCCATTTTTAGCTATTATGGAAAAGCTGTTTGAACATTCACTTACAGATCCCTGTATGGACTTATATTTTAATTTCTCTTGGGTAAATACCTAGGAATAGGATTGCTGGTTGTATGGTAAGTATATGTTTGACTTTATAAGAAATTGCTAAGCTGTTTTTCCAAGACAGCTGTACCATTATGTATTCTCATCAGCAATGTATGAGAGCTCCAGTTACTCCACAGCCTTACTACTACTTGTATTATCTATTTTTAAAAATTTTGGCCCCTGTAGTAGGTAGGTGGTTGTATCTCACAATGGTTTTAATTTACATTTCTCTGATGACTAATGATGTTGAGCATCTTTTCATGTGCTTATTTGCTGTTTCTATATTTTCTCTGGTGAAATATGTTCAAATTTTTTTCCTTTAAAAAATTGGGTGGTTTTATTCTTACTGATTTCTATGAGTCCTTCATATGTTGTGGAATGTAAGTCTTTTATCAAATTTGTATTTTGCAAATATTTTCTCCCAATCTGTGTCTTGTCTTTTTATTTTCATAGATGTATTTTTGGGAGGGCAGAAGTTTTAAATTTTATCATTTTTC